CCCTGTGTGCCTTGTCCTCCTACGTACTATTTTTTTATTTATATTTTGTAAATTTTTTCTATTTTATATACAAATATCTACTTCATTTATAATTATTTTTTTAAAAAATCTAAAATCTTCCCTCGAAATGACCGTTGCACTGAATTACTTTTATTTTTATCACCAAACCAAAGAAGGCTTCAACGTTAATCTAATAAGATTTGTTCTACTTAAGTGTTAAAAAAATCAATTTGGAAGTCCCAAACCAATATGCGGCCCAAAAAAAGGAAAGGATTTTATATAAGGTCTGGATATTGCTTGTAAAAATAAAATCGTAGTAATTTACATGGTCAGTTTTATTTGGGCAGTATAGGTTTTGTACTGTCTTAAAAGGCGTGCTATTTTTTTGACATTATCTTAAAATGCAAGTCAAACTAAAATGGATAGTACCGAACATTGCAACCTTATTTTTAAAAATAAAGGTGCCACCTCATACAAACCGAAACCCAAGAAAAAAAAAAAAAAAAGAGTTAAAAAAAATACACCTGGTAACTTAAAGCTTCAAGCCTAGGGTATTTTCAAAAAGATTAACAAATTCCAAAAACGGACAAGAGTATAAAGTGTACCTAGGGTATTTTCCAAAAAACTAACAAATTCCAAAATAGGACAAACAAATTCCAAAATAGGACAAGAGTATAAAGTGAACCTGGGGTATTTTCAAAAAAATTAACAAATTCCAAAACAGGACAAAAGTATAAATTGAGAAAATTATAAGGTACTTTTAATTACGGTTAAACAAAGAGATCTACTTTTTGGAGATTGTTTACTACGAGAGCATTAGCAAATTCCAAAAAAGGACAAGAGTATAAAGTGAGAAAATTACGAGGTACTGTCAATTACGGTTGAAGAAAGATATCTATTTTATTTTATTTTTTTGGAGATTGTTTATTATGAGACCATTTATTTTTAGTACAATGAGGTTATAATTATTTTTAGTTATTGGATGTTAAATCCAATAAATTAAGTATGCTATAATATTCAAGAAATTTTTAATTGGCTTTTGTACCCGACACATTTTTAACCACATGATCTCACATCTAACAACCAATAATAATTGTAAACTCTTTATACCGCAAATAAATAGGCAAGCTTTTTATGTTTCCCCTATAATATAAAATTTATATACTTTCCCTTATCCAACCGTCCATTCTAAATGGAGGGTTAAGATTGCCCCAATCACAATGTCACGTCTTTACACTATTTTTTTTAATTTTTTTTCTATAAACTATTTTGGGACTAAATTTTGTACGTCCAAACCTCTATTAAACTCGCACTATTGAAAAATATAAAAACAAATATTTTCAACAAAATAAAATGACCAAAATACCCATAAAAGTTTCAAGGGATATTTTAATCATTATATTTTATCGAATAATTGTTTTTAATATTTTTATAAGGGTGCCCCAATGATAATATGGTAAGTACCAGATTTTATATTCATACAATTTGTATAAAAAAGCTAAAACAAAAAATACTTTGAGATGTCGGATCTAAGATCAAACGGTCAATGACTCTCTTGATGGTTAGATGGTAGGGGAAGCATAAATCTTCTATGCTGTAGGTTCCATGCTGTAGGGCAAGTATAGAAACCTTTTCTCAAATAAATAAGTCTCCATACAAAAATTTCCCTCTTTACATGACATGCGCTCGAGCCCAATGTGCGCTCGAGCCCAATATGGTTTATGTGAAGAACTTCATGCCGAAAGGTCATGGCACGCTACCCCACATAACCCGCTACCCCACATAACCGTGATGTTATTAACAGGATGCCTAAGTTATTTAGAGGTAACGGAATTTTTAGGGAAAAGGCTTTCAAAAAAAGGAAAAAGTTTTGAAAATCCATTGGAAAAGGTAGTCTTAATCATCTCGATGTCGAGATGTATGACTATGAAAAATAAAAAAGATATGAAGTCTTAGAAATAATGCATTTTACAACATATTATCTACATCGTTCATTTTCAAGATTTTCATATCTTTATAGATCTATTTGATTTTAACCTTTTTTTAAATTTAAAATTTTATAATTAGATATAAAAATAGATTTTGAAATAATCCTAAGAACATTTTACATAAAAAATATATACTATGATAAAATTTGAAGGCGCACCTTATCTCTACAGCTACGGATGCATCCGTATGCCAACTGCACCCTTTAAAAATTTATTTGATCTTCCTAGAGCAGAGGTCGTTTTTTACGTAACAAAAAATACTTTATTCTCACAGGAGCATTGCTCACTCTTTCATTGGAAAACAATCTATAGAGTAGAAGTCATTTTTTACGTAACAAAAAATACTTTATTTTTACAGCAGCATTGCTCACTCTTTCATTGTCTTTAAAATTTTGAAACATCATGTCCAGAGAATTTCTTCTTGGTCATTTACAGAGAAGTTTGAGTTTCTTTACCCTTTCCTGTTTCTAAGGCTTGGTCTTGCCGTTCTAAGTTCTTTGCGAGTCTTGTGAACCCGATCAGGCTTCGCCTTGAGCCTTGGCCTCTTCATACTACTTAAGCTCTTATGCTTACTGTGCTTTCCAGTTGAATGCCTGTGTATCCTGAGTTTGTGTCGATGGCCTCTTGGTGTAAGCAACGGCCTGCGCTCTAAGTTCTTTCCTAGTCCTGTGAACCCGATCAGGCTTCGCCTTGAGCCTTGACCTCTTCATACTATTTAAGCTCTTATGCTTACTGTGCTTTCCAGTTGAATGCATGTGTATCCCGAGTTTGTGTCGATGGCTTCTTGGTGTAAGCAACTCCCTGCGCTCTTTTGATCTCCTATGCGCTGATCTCTCACCGTCAATATATCTCCTACTCTCTACAAATGATGATATTGATGATGATCCTTCCCCATGCACGGATGATGATATTGATGATGATTTGCCTCCCAGCATTGATTCATCTTGACTGGATTCATATTCTTCTTCTATGTCCCTCAAGTGTCGCCGGCGTTCACGTTTCACACTTTTCAACTTGGTCCATAGAATCATGCAACCATATTCCCAAAGAGAGAAGTATGTCGCCAATAATCCCCATACCATTTTACAGATGCTTCTCCCTATGCATTGGAAGACTCCCACCTTGTATAGAAGATATAAGAACAACATAACTGCATATTGAAGAAGAAGGAATTACAGAAAATATTACTTCTCTTTTTCTTGTAATAGGACCTTCAATTTGAATGGCCAATGGTAAAACTCACCCAAATATGCAAGGGCCAAGACCATCACCAACTTCAAAATCTGAGCAATGCAAAAATGCTCGATGTAGCAGATTAAATCCCATGTCGGTCCACAACCAGAGCTGCAAAATAATTCTGATATAGTTAGACATGAGAGTATTAGTTTCAAAAAAATAGTGAGACAAGTATCTGGAAGGTGTTTTGGAATCAATCAGATTGAAGGGCTCAATAAATAGAATTAAGAAATTTTTTTGAAAATAATAAGAAAGTTATTTACACAAGCATGTCTTTCAAGATGATAGTAACCATGCGTGTCTTTCAAGATGATAGTAACCAACACATGATAAATAGCGTAAAAGTCAATTGAGGTCCATTAATAGGTAGTTGAAACAGGAAACAAAGAAAGAGTTGAGAATTTGAAATCCATTATCCATATTCTAGTAAAAAAAAATGTCTTCATATAAACTCATAGAGGGCAACCGAACTATATGAACTTGCTGGTGTCTCTAAAAACATATGCACGTATATCTTGAGGCAAATACCATCTCAAGGACCATGTCTTCAGTAACAACCATTTAGAGCAGGACAGCATCCAATTTCTCAATTTCTGTATTTTGTGCAGGTCAGAGTCTGTATATCATTGCAAACTTTTGCAGATTTGAGCTTTATATTTTTGTGGATTTTTTGAATGGATTAAATGCATCCTAAGATGACTACAAACTCTAGAATCACGACTTTGCATAAATGAGGCTTTTTAATATTTTTTCTTTATTTTTATTTTTTAGAAGGGGGCAGAGGGGTGAGGGGGCTGGGGCATGGATCTCTCGAACATTAGTCAGAAACCCACACCATTATTGTGGATGGTGGTTAACAAAATTGTCCCCTAAAGATGTTACTTTTGGGTGTCGCCAGTTTTATGGCACGGAGAGGTTAATAGGAGGTGGTATCAAAGCGTATACATGTATTCCCCTAATGATATTTATATTGTTCAATTTATATTATCAGTAATTTGTTTGCAGACTCCATCAAGTAAATTGTTTGCAGACTCCCCTAACCTATCACCTTAAGAGCAAGCCTTGTACGTTTATACAATCATTTGGGGGTGTTTGGGTGATTCTTCCATGATTTCAAGAATGAAACATGTATCTGTAGAGAGAATACATTAACAAATGCAGCAAGTGAACATTTCTTATTTCTTTTGTTCTACTTTATATACACACAATGCAAGGCAAAGGTATATAAAGTCAATTTATGTGTCAATATCTTTCTATCATCACCCATCTCCTCTTGGATTCCATGTAGCCCAATAAACTGAATCATTATGTTAACAACAGTGGTTGGACAGAAGTGGGAGGTGACTTCTAGGAAAACCATGATAATAATAATAATAATAATAATAATAATAAATAAGATGCATCACCTGAAATTCATGTCAATATCAATTTGAGGAGGTTTCAATCCTATCTATGGAACCCCTTTAGGATCCAGTAGGCAACTCCACTTTCAATTGTATCAAACTGGATAAGGAAAAACTCCAAACCCTGTTCAACTTTCTTAGACCACCTAAATAGTTCCTAGTACACTCTTGAGAGAAAAGGATAGCTTCCAAACATCCTTTTACCAAAAACTTCCCCCAAGGAGAACCTAAACAAGAACCGGCTGCTAGCAGAACCACCTCCACATAACCCACTTTTGCACCTGTTTTCTTCCTGAAAATGAAGTAATTTACCTCAAAATGATGGCACACTTCTGGATTTCTTATTTCTCAGTCCAGATGCTAGGTTTCTTCCACAAAACAGTCTCAGGGCTCTTTTTCCCAAAACCCTAGGTTTCTTCCCTTATGAAGCTACTTTCTTTTAGCAAAAACGAAATGCTTAAAAGAAAGTTTTATTATGGAAACCTCTTTGAATTTCAGGAGGAAGTTGATATGGTCCTTTCTCCATGTATCAACCAGAGAAACATGGTTTCAGTAGTTTTGTCACTTAATTCACTCAGCAAAGCCATCCTATGGGTTCAAGCAAGTCCAGTAGCACAATTTATAAAATCTAGTGAAGTCGATGAATATGCAACGCTCAAGGGACACTGACGACTATTTCTCTTCATAAGGAAAATACCTAAATTTCTTGTAGTGTCTAAGTTATTTTGACCACCAAGAATGATGGAAATTCAGTAACAGGTAATATGAAAAGAGGAAAAGAATTCGGGGATCTCAAATAGTCCAATGAATTGGGGTTTCAAGGTCATCCAAGGCGTGAAACGCTCATAGTTACATTGAATTGGGAACTTTTATTTTGGAGTGGAACTGTAGTGTACAACCTTAGTTTTTCCACTTCAATAATATTTGCATAGTGCATACTTTCCATTATGGCTATAAGTCATTCTATGCACATTGAAATGGTCCTCCCAATAATAAGAGGAAGTTCAATAAACTCGGATACTCCTAAGGATTGAGGTTACAAGGGTCATCAGAGGCAGCAAACTAACAAAAATTATCTCAAAGTGAGGAAGTAGAGGGAAACCAACTCTAGTTACCCATTCCTATATGAAGGCACTTCCAAATAAATGCATGGATTCTTATGGAAATCATCAGCAGAGTAAGTTGCTTATTATTACGCACCCCAATAGTGCGTTTCCCATATTTGCTACGAGTCATTCATGGACATTTAACTCATCTAACTTTCAAGCTGAATGGCTAATTTTGATGACAGAGAGCTCAGGAGAAGTACTTCTACTACCAAAAATGTAAGTAATCACTTAATTTAAAATCTCGGGATGAAATAGGTGGGATCTCAAGATGATCAAATGTCAATTATTGGATTGTTTATCTAGCAAAAACAGTTTCCTTTCATGGAGAAGTAAGATAAATAATCTGCCATCCATGTCCAGCAATAACGTCGAGTATCATGAGATTATGCAACCAGTAATGTGCCTTTTAGCGGAATGAGAATCCATGTGAACAAGCTATAATCAGATTAGTTGATAAATGTATGCTATTGATAATTGGCTCTCATCTCCTTTTCCTAAAGGAAAACCAAAGACATATAAGTTGCATGCATTTGCATGAAAGTTTAAAGAGGGGTATTATTTAAATTGAATTCATGGAAAATGAGGATCAAGACGTGGACACCATGATGACGGGCACATTTGGCTGCTTAAACCAAACATATCCTTTCACATTGGGGGTTCTGATCCCTCTTTACCTTAACTCATTTATATTTCTCTGAAGATTCTGCAGAACAAAACAGGCACTACAGAACAAGTAACATATTTACAGCTTGTGATTGGTTCTAAAGAACGAGATACATGCATTAAGAGAAATCTCTAGAAAGTCTATTGGAACATATTCAATCATATGGGAGAGTCCACTCTTTAAGTACCATCCAAATCTAAGATTTCAAAATTGCATGGCTTCTATATTTTTGCAAAAACTGAATCTAACCCGCGCCTCATCGATGTGTCATGGAATATGGTAATGAGATTGTCCAGACATCAGGATAATGGGGAATATGGCTATCTTTCACAAGATACAAAAGTAAATAGCAAAAGAGAGGAACCAAAGGGAAACTCTAGGTCTGATTCTCACATATATGCAGTAAAAACCCATACTGAACTTCATTGCCTGCACTTGGATTGGATGAAGACAAATAGAAAATATGTTTCATAAGCAATATGGAACACTGTTCCACACATTCATGTCTTAAAAGATTCGAGATGGAAAAAAAAACTAAAATTATTAGGAGGAAACCTGCATAATTTTCCAGCAAGAAATTGAAGTGGGGCTTGAAAGATTTCTTTCAGAACATTGCCGACACCTTCAACAGCACCAGAAAACAATGAAGCCACCAAATTTCCCATTTATCCAGATCTGCATGTGTATTTCTCATATGATGCGATGCCCTTTCTCCTTCAATCCTACAAGCATAAGTAACATCAACCACAGTGGGAAACCAAACACCTGCTAAACTGTGCCTATCAAATATATTCTTGAAAATTATTAAATATATATTAAAAATTGAAGCAATTAAGATCTATGCCTTGTAAAGGCAATCATTATTGCTTCACGGTACAAGTTCAAGGAAGGCACTTAACTGATTTGAATGCTACACTTATTAATGTAAAGTTAGTTACTGGTGTGGGGATTGGACCATTTCCTCTCATATTGAAGTGGAAAGAACATCAGCATAACATCAGGAGATTAGTCCATGAGTTTCTAAGAAATAACAGATATTGATTCTACTGCTATTTCCATTTTAGCAAAGGGATTTAACCCTGAAGTCAAGCACGTAAGTGTATGACGAGGAAAGTACAATAAAATCTTCTGTTTTCTACCCTTTTTTTTTTTTCTATATTTTAAGCGTGAAGAGTACTTGTTCTATTTGTATGACACGTGACATCCCGTTTATAATCGGTAGTTATGAACATCACCAAAAGACGCGTCTTTTCCTCCCTCCTAAAATCTCTCTCTACCGTTTTCCTAAAATCTATCTTCCTCTCTTTTTTTATAAACTACCTCCCTTTTCACTCCTTAAAAACTCTTTATCATCAATCCATAAACTACCTCCCTTTTCACTCCTTAAAAACTCTTTATTATCTATCCATGTGTTTCTATTTTTATTTTTCTAACATTTCTGCGCATGTATTTCTATTTTTATTTTTCTAACATTTCTCGGCTTGATGTTCAAATTTTGCTCTCTCTAAAAAAGGTGTAACTCTTTAAAACTCTTTCATCTCTATCTCTAGCACCTCTCCCATCTCTCTTTAAAATTCTTTTTTTATTTTACTCCTAAAATCTCTCCTTATCATTTGTTTTTCCATTTGTTCTTTTAAATTCGGAGTTTTGCTTTCTCAACATTTGAAAAGGTGCAACTTTTATCATCTCTGTTTCAAGCATCCCTCCCATCTCTCTCCTAACATTTTTCCTTGTATCTTGCTCCTAAAATCTCACTATTTTTTTTTTCTCTTTTGAAAAGACACATCTTCAAGACCTCTCCTGACATTTTTCGTGTATCTTGCTGCTAAAATCTCACTATATTTTTTTTCTCTTTTGAAAAGACACACCTTCAAGACCTCTCTTGTGGCTTGCCTCTATTCATACTAACTCTCTCTCTAACCCACCTTCAAGACCTCTCTTATGGCCTGCCTCTATTAATGCTTGATTTGAAATTTTCCTAACAAAGGTGAAATATTTTTGTTGTGGTTATTAATTAAAAATTCCCTTTTTATTAAAAAAAAATCTGAAACTCATAACTATTTTTAAAACAAAATAGGAAAACATGAAAATTTTGAATTTTAAAAATCCAAAATTAAAAAGACATAATTCTTAATTTTTGATGTTCCATATCGAAAAATTGGGAAAAAGCCTTATTATTTACTGCTCAAATTCATCTCAAAATTTGAAAACAATAAAATCCTTTTTATGGCCTAGAAATCTTTAATATTAAATTACATTAATCTTTTAATTTTTTCATGTGGGTTAATAATCCAAACTCGTGTTGGTTATTATCTCAATTGATTTAAATGCTCATATCATTAACTGTTTATTATTGTTGTGAAACGCATGTCAATCCTCCATAACTACTATTGATTATTGGAACTAAAATATTTACAAAAAAGTTCAGGTATTCAAAATAAAAAAGACAATTTTTTTTTTTTTCTAATGACGGATATTCAAATATGAAAATTTAGAAATGTTCTATTTTTTGAGTAAAAATTCTTAATTTCAAAATTTTCAAATTATGATCACCCGAAATTGAACAGACGATAATCCCTTTTTTTTTCTTTTTTGAAATATGCTTATTCAATATAAGCTAACTCCAAATTCATCGAATTTTACCACGGGAACGGTAGATTGTTAAATAACTCATTTAACATTGCTATTTCAATAATAAATTTTATTTTTCTAATAAAAAAACCATTAACTAATAGTTATTTTTAAAACAGAATACTTCTGTATTTCAATTTTTCTATATTGGAATTAGGGAAACCCTTAATTAATTAAGAATTTATTGAAAACAAATAGATTTAGATTCTAGGAAATTAAAACACGACATTATTGTGTAATGGATGTCAATCCTCCATAACTACTATTAATCGTTGAAATTTAAACAAATTACATAACATATTTTTAATTTTCTAATTAAAAAAGAACTGTTTTATTTTCAGATTTTTCAATATCATAAAATTAGGAATATTGTTAATTTCCAATTTGTGAATAATGTAATCTAAAATTAAGAATTTATTTAATGTCTAAAGAATAACACTTAATTTTTGAATTTTCATATCAAAAAATTAGGAAAATCTTTATTTTCGGATGTTTAAAATTATCTAAAACTTATTTAAAAAATAAATTTATAATTTTTCAAGATTATATACTACTACATTATTAAGCTAATATTTAGGTATGTTAAGATGAAAAGGCCCTACGCCCTAGAGATGGTAGTGCTCAAGATAACTAATGTGACATGTGTACCTTTCCACCAAAAGATTTGTCATATCTTCCAGCGTTTTGATATTTATTGAGTAGAGATATAAAGTTATTTTAAAAAAGAGGGGGAGAAAAATATGGGAGAGAAATTTTAGGAAACGGTAGTGCCCTACACGTTAGAGATGGTAGTGCTCGAGATGACTACTATGACATGTGTACATTTTCACCCAAATATATGAATTTTTCTCAATTAAAACATTAGCATATTTATTGAGTAGAGATATAAATATATTTTAAAAAATAGGAAGAAAAAATATAGGAAAGAGATTTTAGAAAAAAGGGAGCGGAGAGGAGAGATATAGAGATATTTTAAGAAAAGGAGATAAATACGGGGGAGAGATCTTAGGAAAGAAAGAGAGGAGAAATCACCGTAGAGAGGAGGGGAGATATTGTGGGAGACATTTGGAAGAGAGCTAGCCGTATATATAGTTATTGGATAGTACATGCCATTTATGTTTGGTGCTATTGATATGTCAGATAAGATCATTGCTTCAAAGCTATATGCTACCATAGATCTCAATGTACTTTGTACTGCTTACACTAAATGGAAGTTGAAATCGAAAAGATACTTTCATAATATGCAAATGATATATGTTGCCTAATGTTTTTGTATTATTTTGAAATAAGAGGAGGAAATTGTTGAATATTTGCTTTCGAAAACCTTAAATGTTATTTCAAAATAATAATCTTTTTATTCTATAGTGTTTTGGAAAGCGATAAATCATGCCTAGGATCAGAGAGATTGACAAATATGTTGTTTTCTACCTCTATATTTTGCCTTGTTTCACCCTCTTATTTCCAATAAAAGCCAATAAAAAAAACTGACCAAGAAAGGACCGAATGAAGTGCTAAAGATTATGGTTACTACACTCTTAGGTAGTTCTAGAGATGGTAAGGCTCGAGATAACTACTATGACATGTGCGCCTTTCCACCAAAAGACAAGTCATTTTTTAAGTTAAATCGTTTCCATATTTATTGAATAGAGATATGAAGATATTTTAGGAAAGAGGGAGAGAAAAATATGGAAGAGAGATTTTAAAAAAAGAGTAGAGTCCTATACCCTAGAGAGATGGTAGTGGTCGAGATAACTACTATGACATGTGTACCTTTCTATCAAAAGATATGTCATTTCCTCAAATTAAAACATTTCCATATTTATTGAGTAGAGATATATAGATATTTTAAGAAAGAGAGAAAAATATGGAAGAGAGATTTTAGGAAAGAGGCGAGAGGAGAGTAGAGAGATAAAAATAATTTAAGAAAGAGAGGAGAAATCTCTGTAGAGAGGAGGAGAGATATTGAGGGAGATAATAAAAGAGAGATTTTAGAAAAGAGGGAGACAGTAGGAGAAGAGAGAGAATGGTGCTTATCTCCTGGAAGTCTATAAAAAAAAATGCGTACTTTTTCAAATTTGGTCATTTTATTTTATTAGAAATATTTGTTTTATATTTTTTGCTAGTGTGATTTTAATAGAGGATTGGACGTACAAAATTTGGTATCAAAATAGTTTATAGAAAAAAAATTTAAAAATAAATAGTGTAGAGACGTGACATTATGATTGGGGCAATCATAGCCCTCCATTATGAATTGACGGTTAGATAAAGGGAAATATATAAGTTATGTTGTAAGGGAAGCATAGAAAGCTTGCCCACAATATAAAACGTAGGATATGGGTATTGTTTAACTTTCCTTTATTTTCTCTTTCCTCATTCTCTCTACTCTAGTATTTTTTACCCCAAGGACTTAGTTCTATGTTATAATTACAATCTTTATGATATTCTTTTTTTACTCTCATTACATAGCAGAATCTCTGAAAAATCATTATAATCTCTTTAGACTCTCATTAAAATCATCTATAAGAAAAGACAAGTAAACCAAAATTATGCAATTATCTCTCTCCCTCTTTGCACAATTCATTAGTGGTTTTTTTCTTTTAATTCACTGGTGGTTTTTTTTTTTTTAAGAATTTCTGATTTTTATTTCTCAGTTTTGTAAAGTTCATATTTTGACATTAGTAATCTTGGAATTCATCTTTAAAAACTCATTCAAAAGGAAAAAAATTCTCTCTGAAAACCGGTGTAGAGGAAAAGCAAGTAAAACAATATACGCTTTTATATATCTCCCTATGCTTTATTCTTCTATTTTGTAAAGTTCATGTTTTTATAATATTAATCTTAGAAAGTTGTGGTCATCATGATTGCAAAATTTTTTATACCAAATTTTTTTCAATTAATGGTATATCCAATGCAAAATTTTTTATTCTCAAATTCAACTCTTTTGATTACCATGGTATAAGAGAACAAACTAATATTAAACTTACTCATTGATTTTCATGCCCCAATAAATATTACAAAAATTTTAAATCATCCTCTTTTAGTACATTAACTCAAATATGGAATTCTTGTTTGGGCTTGATTGCTAATGAATCCCAACACTACGTGGGAAATTTGAAACCTACCACCAAAATACTGAAAGAAGAACTATGTGATAATGGACGGTGTATATATTTTAAAAAAAAATAAAAATATTTCACCAGCAAGGTTACTCACAATGTCCAATTATAATTAAATTTCACCTGAAATAAATAAATAAATAAATAAATAAATAAATAAATAATAGGATCTCACTTGTTACCGTATAAAACAAAAGCTCTTACACAATAATTAAAAGCCTAGACTATTTGCTTTATTGGGAAAAGAAGAACATAACATAAATAAAACTTTAACGAAGTAAAATCGCTAGAGATTACCTCTACCGGGTTTAGTACACCCCATGATGAGTCTCCTCCTTCTAATGGTGCCCCGGATCTTTAATTTGTCTCTGG